GAGTTTAAGAATTTAAGTTGAAAAGGGAACTTGAACTCAGATTTTAGCCTCAAACTCAAGTTCAAACTCAAGTTCAAACAAATTTTATAAAAGAACATAAACATGAATACAGTTGTAATTTGAGTTCAAATTTTTTTTAAGTTTTAATCTAAAAAAATAAGCCTTTAACTTTTTTATGAGAGAAAAATATTATAAAAAACCAAAAATTATAGTTCAAAATCAAAGACGAATCTTTAAAACAAACATTCCGTGAATTTGCACGGGGATGACCTGAACAACTGTCATTTTCCCTTGCTACGCTGTGTTGTAAAAGACAAATAATAATACAAATTAAAAAAAAAAATTCTATTGCAAACAACCAACCATTATTTTAAAAACGAATGAGCAATATCTTATCAATCATTGATAATGAACTACAAGAGCGTTCGCCAACATTGTTGCTAATCAATATGTTTCATATATCGATTGTTTCAGTAATGTGAACATTAAATATAGTCAACATTTAATGCATGCTTGTTTAATTCACTGATTTAAATTTTTAATTCGAGTTAAGATATAATTTTATATGAAAATTTTTTAATATAATAAAAAAATTAAATATAATTATTTTTATAACAAAACTTAAATTGATAAAATAAACGGTGTCTCAGTGTGTTATATGAAAACAGAGTTCTATCCGCCAAATAGAGACAGGGTTTTAAATGATACTCGATCATTCAATTATAAATCTATCAACTATGAGGATGTTCAACGCAAAATTACCCATTCAATATGAATTTTGATTTTTACTTTTTTTTTTATTTTTTTTTGCTATGAATGCATACAACGAAAAATGGTCTCATTCTGACTTGTCATGGAAAAGATGTGTTTGTTTTAATCGCAACTTTTGTAACAGAGCCCAATAAAATCCCATGGGTTACTGCTAACTATCAGGGGAACGTGCGCTGGGGAAGAAAAGAAAATGGGGAACAGCTGGCATATTAAACCATCGACAACATTATAAAAAATTTTAATTTCTTTATTTTTAAAGAGAGACGGGTTTAGATTAATTTAATTTTTAATTTAAGTTGAGATGTAATTTTATGTGAGAATTTTTTACTATAGTAAAAAAGTTAAATATGACTATTTTTAAAAATTTTTCATTATAATAAAATTTAAATTCTAAACTCAAATCGGTAAAATAAATGAAATCTTGATACTTGCTTACATATTCTCTGTTTTTATATCTAACTGAAATGGAAAATACAGACGAAAGTAACAGTATTTTTGTGGTCCTGTTTTTATTTTTTGTCTTTTAAAATTGTTGTCAGATTTTGTTCTAATTAAAAAAGACAAAATTAATCTTTTAAAAATTTTATTTTTATCAATATTTATAAAAAAAAAATTAAAGATTTTCTCTTTAGCGACCACATTAAGTATTTTGTTGATATTAAAGGGTCACGTTTAGCGTGACATCAGAATTTTGTAACAAAAACTAGAGTTTTCTTGCAGTGATATAAAGCGAGATTGCAACTGAAATTGCAGTTAAAACAATTAAGAGTGTGTTTAGAAGGGAGATTCGTGTCATGATTCGAATCATGATTCGCGACTCGTTACAGTATTTTTTCTCACAAAAAAGACACGTAAAACGATAATAATTCTGAATTTATAAACTAAACGTCCCCTAAGATTGACATGTTATTAATTAAAGTGAGATTGCAACAGATTTTCAAATTCCAATACTAAAGTAGTTAAGATTTTTATTTTAGGGACTGTATTGCAAAGAGGCTAAAATCAGTGACAATAGGTCAAAAAATGCTATAATGTTTCCTGTTGACGATGAAATTTCGCCAACAACCAAGAACCCAAATTCCAAATGCAAGGCTTGAATAATTGGAATAAAGTAACGAAATTGAAAAAAGAAGGAGTAAATTACTACAAGAAAATCGAGAAATGAAGGGAAATTTTATTGATTTACTTTAAAGTACACACTCAAATCCTCACTGGCTCTTAATTTTCTCATAATAGCTCTCAGACTCAAAATTCAGACCCTTTCTTCTTCTTTCTTTTTCATCATATTTATAGGCTATCTTTCTCAAGTAACCACTCTCTTGAGGGAACAACCGTCCTACCCACGTCCCTTACTCCCGTCCTTTCCGCTTCTATCAGAACGTGGCTTTTTTGCTCCTTCCCGGACATAACTTCTGCTTCCCTTGATGGCCATCCGGATCTCATGGGATCACTGATGTGGTAATTCTCCCATTTCTCACATGAAAAAATTGGGTAGAGGGTTGGGCCTTCATTGTATCCTCCGCCTCTCATAGGCTTGAGGTGTCGGGTTCAAAATATACATTTAGCTCAAGGTGTTGAGCTCAAGAAAATTGACCTCAGAGTGTTGAGCTAAAGGGGATTGAGGATGTATATTTCCTGTATTTATCTTTGATTATGAATCATGATTTATAATTTTTTACAGTGATTTTTTCTCATAAAAAATACACGTAAAACGAGAATTACTTTTAATCATGATTCTAAATACACGAATCAAACGTCCACTGAATTTGGAGTGTTGAGCTCAACAAGGATATTAAATTCAAAATATTAGGTAAAACCCCGATTTTTGGGGTACCTCATAGAATGCAATTATTGACTTGAGATTCAATTGATATAACATTTCCAAAGTTTGAGAGAGCATGATTTGCGCTTGTCCCCTATAGGTAAAGAAAGAAATGAAGTCAATACATAGGCAAAGTCCCAAGTCATTTGCATTGAAACTAAAGCCTCATTCACTTCGTGGATTTAAATTTTCAATTCGAGCTGAGATGTGACATTTTCTGAGAACGTTTCACTGTAGCAAAAAAAAGTTATATGTGACATTTTCTAAGAGCTTTTTACTGTAGAAACCTAAAACTGAAAAATTGAATCGGTAAAATAAACCATACCTAAAATAAGCTTCAAACATCGATTTATTCAATCACCACCACTAAGGAAGTTTCTACAAATAACATACAAAGCAATTAATTAGGTTCCCGTATATATACTAACTTATTGAACCATCGAATACACGGCAGTAGACTTTAAAATATTATACGATTTCTGGAAGACAAGTCCTATAAGAACTTTAGGCTATACTATTGCCGCGTCACTTGTCTTTTTGGCAGGCTGTTAATGTGGAGATGCCTTAGGCTAATTATGTCCGACTACATTCCACGCATGCGCATTATTCATTTCCTAATTCCAAATTTCCCAACTATATGTAATAAATTTCTATTTTTTAATGCTGTCCCAATAAATAAATAAATAAATAAACTAAAAATTGTTTGGTTTATCGAATTTTTGGATATCTCTAATGTGATCATCTTTTGCTCATGCAGTATTTTAAGGAGGGACTTTCATCAATGTTTGGTTTTTTGTGGATTGTAAAGATATAATTAAACCAAATAGTCTGTAATAAACATCACGATTGAAAAGCTTTGCTATGTATAAGATTAGGGTCCTTCTATGGTGCCTTCACAAAATTAGGGTCCTTCACAATCCCACTCTCCACAAAGACTGGAACAACAAATCATGGAAGCAGTTCGAAAATCTAAGCTCTCAGATTCCGTGGTACGATTTACAAATTTATCATAACTTTTATAATTTTAACGTTTGAAGTTTGTATTTAAACGTAATAAAATAAAAAAGAATAAGAACAAAAATAAAAATGGAAAAATGTGAAAGATTTTAGGTATCTTTCATAGCTAACAATAATTATGTACTGAAAGAAGGATAAGAATTTAACACGAATTTGAAATCTGAAAATGTGTGTGTATATATATATATATATATATATTTGATGATATCTGAAAGTATAAATTTGATACAATAAAAAATATGCGGTAATTATGTTTTGTTTAACATAAAAATACGGGGTGTAAAAATGGGAAAAAAAAAATGCCAAAGAAAGCTACCCTACACACATAATCATAAAACATATCATAATATGTAAAAAAAAAAAAAAAAAAAAAATAAAAAAAAAAAAAAAAAAAAAAAACTTGGTTACCTCAAAAAAATAAAAATAAAAAAATAAAAAAGCAACAACTTGGAATGGGGTGCGTACGAGAATATAAAGTCTTAGTGATAGGAAAAAAATAAAGAAATCAGAAATTTTAAAAGGGTTAAGTTTTATTTTTTTAAGAAGTCGGTAGAGTAACTACCTCCACAGTGATGAAGCCAAAAATTTTTATGAGGAGGACTAATAAATAAAACAGAAATTATTAAGGAGACATAAGGTTGTATTTCCAATTTTTCAGAGGGAGTTTTGTATAATTTTCTAAAGCTACACTTATATATACAGTAAAAAATGGAAAGGAAAAAAAAAAAAAAAAAAAAAAATTGAGGGGGGCTTGAGCCCGGAGGCATGAATTGGCTACGTCTTTGCCTCCACTTGTCGCTTCTTACCTCCGCCACTGCTAAAGAAGCATCTTGCTATTGTAAAAAATAAAATAAAATAAAATAAAATAATAAAATAATAATAATAATAATAATAAATAACCAAAAAAGAAAATATTCAACAAAAGGAATTAAATAAATTTGACTTTTAATTCGATAGTGTATGCAATATTTATACCTCAAGAAGTTAATTGCATTATGTAGACTCTAAATTCATCCATTAAATTGATAAAATTTCACCATATACAGCCAATACATAGAGAGGTTCAATTTATAGATATAATTGGTAGTTTAACTAATTTGTCGGCCAATTCATGGTGAGCAAGCTTGTTACGTTACTTGTAGCTATGCAAGACCAAATATGGCCAACCTTATAAAAAAGAAAAAAAATAGACAAAATATTGCCAAGACTATTCAAAGAAATTAGAGTGTTTGTTCATAAATGCAAGTTGGTACTAATTCATTGTGGAAATTTTATGCATGCATTCATATTAATTGACTCAGCCAATTACATTTATTTCGGGCTAAATTTCCACAGAGTACTTGACTCGTCAAATTACAATGTGGAAAGTCTGGTGACTGATTTCTTCAATCGTAACTTTAAAAATGGGTTATTTTTGTCAATAAAAAGGGAGGCTAATAAGCTGTGTTTGGGGCAGAGAGTTTGCGGTAAATCCTCTTTTATAAGCTTTAGTGATCTGCCTTTTTGTCTACATACTTTGTCACCAATATGGCTAAGGCATATTCTTTAAGCGGAAGCTGTCCTTCCATGATCTCAACAATGCTGTTACTTGGGCTGCTGATCATCACGTCAACCATAGACAAAACTGGTATATCTCTTTCTCCATGCACACACACACATGATTGCGCATATACATATATATATATATATATATATATATATATATATATATGCACACGTACAAACAATCAGTTCATCAAAATGATACTCACCATGAAAATATCATGAAACTGGAATTTTAATATGTGAGGAGTAAATAAGTTGAGAATAGATATAAAATAATTCGTTTTTGTGAAACTCAGAGAAATTTGACACATCAATTGTTGCGATATTTGCTGCGGAGCCATGTTGCCCTCACTAATTCAAGTGGCTCCTTTACAATACAACTTTTTTTGCATTTTTAAATTGCAAATTTAAAATGCCAATTAAAGCTTTTAGAAAAGTTTCAATTATACGTCTGAATTTTAATTTTGAATTTTCGTATTATTTATATTTCAAAAACTGAAATACCAATTAAATAAAAAAATCAACTACAATATTGTATGAATTCATAATTTTCTGAACTGGAAATTTCACAAATTGAATTAAAATAATCATAATGTTGTTTTAGCTAAAACTTTTGGTTTAATATACAACTCCCAAAATTTTTCTGAATCCAACGTGTTTATTATTAAATGTTTCATCACGTACTGTATCATTACCATGCCTGAAATTAGATAATTTGCCTTGGCTGCCATATGCGATGAGTACCAAAAAATAAAAAAAAGTAATTTTATTCGTTGTGTAGCAAATTAAGTCGGCACATATTTAACATAAACTTCTCCAATAACCTATCTTGTGAGCTAGAGAGATGATTTGTCGGGTACTAAGTCCTATAATATTGATAACTTTCCGTCTAAATTTCACAAGGGAATTGCAAAAATATACATAACTATTAAAAGTAAAATGGCAACTTTAAAAATTAACAAAAAGTTTATGGGGAAAAATTCTAAAAATATTTGGGTATTTTTGTGAAAAGGCATGTCTTTTTCAACTACGGGTAGGAACTGATGTTTTTAGGTTTTATTTTTAACAGTTTAATATGTGATTATAATAATTTTAGGTGATACGTCATATAAAATTTTAACGCGCACAATCACAACCCGACTCATATAGAACCCGTTATTCTATCGGGCTAGGTTGGGCTTTAGTTGTCTTTATCGCGGGTCATGTCACCCCCTTTTTGTGACCGAACCCGTATTATCACCCCGATCCACATGGGTCGGGCTGCGGGGTCCATTTTATGCACAACTACTCTAGTCTACCGTTGATTCTCATTTCAACTAAATATGATTATATTACAGCTGCGCAAATTGGAGTCTGTTATGGGATGCTGGGCAACAACTTGCCTTCCCAAAAGGAAGTCATAGCTCTCTACAACCAAAACAACATCCGAAGAATGCGACTCTACGATCCCAACCAAGCCGCTCTCCAAGCCCTCCGAGGCACCAACATCGAACTCATGCTCGGCGTTCCCAACACCGACCTCCAAAGGCTCGCCTCAAACCAAGCCGAAGCCAACACTTGGGTCCAAAACAACGTCAGAAACTACAACAACGTTAAGTTCAAGTACATCGCCGTCGGAAACGAAGTCAAAACCTCAGACAGTTTCGCGCAATTCCTCGTCCCCGCCATGCAAAACATTCAAAGGGCAATCTCCACGTTCGGCCTCGCCAACCAAATCAAAGTCTCCACCTCCATCGACACCGGAGTCCTCGACGTATCCTATCCTCCTTCAAAAGGCTCGTTCAAGTCGGATTACCGAGCTATTATCAACCCTGTAATAAGCTTCTTAGTGAGCAACGGATCTCCATTGCTCGTCAACTTGTATCCTTATTTCAGTTACAGTGGCAACACGAGAGACATTTCTCTTGATTATGCTCTTTTCAGATCGCCGTCAGTTGTTGTGCAAGATGGTCAGTATGGATATCGCAATCTTTTCGACGCCATATTGGACGCCGTCTATTCAGCTCTCGAGAAGGCGGGCGGAGGGTCGTTGGAGATCGTCGTGTCGGAGAGCGGTTGGCCGTCGGCTGGTGGGACGGGAACGACGGTCGATAACGCTAGGACTTATAACAATAACTTGGTGCAACATGTGAAGAAAGGGACTCCGAAGAAACCAGGAAGGCCTATTCAGACTTACATATTTGCCATGTTTAATGAGAACCAGAAGACCCCGGAACTTGAGAAGCATTGGGGACTCTTCCTACCGAACAAGCAGCCAAAATACCAAATGAATTTCAATTAAGAAGCAAGCTTATATATGTGTGGTAATAAAGTAATGGCAATAAGGACGGACCAATTTGTTTAGTACAATAAAAGGTTACAGCTTGTAATCCGCTTGCAAAGATGCGGTTGGTAAAAAAATTATATACTTTAACGAATGTCTTTTTTTTTTTCTTTTTTTTTAAGGACTAAAGGTCTTCTTTTATAAACTAAAGTTGGTGAAGAAAGTCCCATGCCCCGATTAGACAATATTCGTTAGTTTAAAATCGCACTGTCATACTTTTATTTTTATTTTTATTTTTTATTTTTTGTATAATGCATCCTAAATTTTATTAGAAAATTACTATCATAAAATTTAAATCAGTAGCAATTGAAGTATAATAATTTTTTAACTTTAAGAAATTGACATTTCAGAACATGAAATTCTCCCAAAATTCTATATGAAAAATGACGAGTTTTGCCTTTAATATGTGAATCTTGCATCTCAAAAGTCAAACCACTAAATTGATATGCTCGTTAGTTATTGCACTTTAATTGCTACTTATTATACAATTCAAGACGCAATTGGTCAAAATTGAACTAATTATGCTAAAAACAAAAAATTAAGAGTGCAACATGCAAAAATGCAATTTACTCTTTTAAATACGAATGACGTGAAAAATGCTCTCATTTCGCTACGGAAGATTACATACAGAATAAATACATATAGGATAGCAGTAGATGGTCAAATAAAGAAGGTAACCAATGCCTAAGATTATTATTATACAGATGGAAAAACGAGCGCGACCGTAGTATTTCGTGACTTTACTTTTTGTATTTATTAGTGCCTTCACTAAAACAAATTTCAGCAATCGTCATTGTTCTCATACAATAATATTGGAACATATCAATGTAGCGTCTGCTTGACTGATGGAGCTAATTTACAGTAATGTACTCTACTTTCTTATAGGTTAATGTGGCTCCTTGATCGTTTAATTCTGTTATTATAAGACACATCGTGGCATAGACTGGAAATATAAATTCCTCTATCAAGGAATATATATATATGTTGACGGTGTTTTTCCGATAACTCGTAATTACCTCTCTAAAAACATTCACGGTTGCACTAATGACTGAATCAAGGATAAAGCAGAAAAATAATGTAAAAGAGACAATAGTTTTATAGTGGTTCGGCAATAATTATGTGCCTAATCCACTTGTGTATGCACTAATTTTTCAGGTGTTTACAAGTTTTTCTCCTGATAATGAAATGGTGTCTAACCCCTTTCTGGGTTTTCTTGGCTCTATTTATAGGTCTTTACATGTGACTACGTATTCCCTGTTCCCAAGGAGGAAGCCATCTTCTGTCCTCCATCCGCGTGAGGGTAGGTGAGTTTTCATGATGACTGTTCCGGGAAATGCGGCTGATCCTTCCTGTCTGCCGCTTGATTTCCTGACTCCTGCAGTAGCAGTCGGATCAATACTTCCCTCCTCGAGTTGACAAGACAGCGGGTAGAGAAGATCGACATTGCTGCCTCGGTGCCGTGATCTCCGGGGGCTCGATCTTCTCGGCCGGCCCCCTTCGCAAGGTTCCTCGACGTAAAAGGAATGCTCTCTACACTGTGCCCTAATACCAGCGACCAATCCTCAGTGGGGAATCCTCGGCGTCTATCGTTCAAGCGAGTGGTCGAGGTATCGACCATGGTGTAACAATTACCCCTTAGGCCGGAGCGTAGCGGTGTGATGTTCCGGGCTTTTCAGCGTCAAGGACGCCACGTGGGAACATGGCTTTTGTGAGTAGAGGCGGTTGCTCGTAGGTACAGGGCATCATTGCGGTTGGTTTCTTGGACAGTAGGGCAGTCACGTCGATTGCATCAACCGTCACGTCCCCATTTCCCTAACGCCACGTGGAGCTGGAGGGATGAATTGTCGCCGTCAGATCGAGTCCTTTCCCGTTGCTTACTCCCCAACCGTTCGATCGTGCCTTCTCGGATCCACCGTCGGATGGGACCGAATCAGATTCTATGGTCGAGATCTGGAGCCCTTTGGACTCCTCGAGGACCTTTGGACTCCTCTTCTGGCGGGTATATATACCTCCTCACCTTCACCTTTCTGACCACCGAGCTTTCAAGACGCCGTTACTCTGCCGGATTTTCACCCGACCCTTTACTTCCGTGCATCCTTATGCATTTGAGCCGTCCTCCATCCTCATATTCGAGCGTTCTCCGACTCCGGTAAGTCCTCATTTCCTCTGTTCATCCCGTGGGTCCAGTTACGTTGTCTGCGACCGTTGTGCCAAAATGCGCTGCAAGGGGGGGACAAGTGTCCTTCCCTGATGTCACCGGCCTTACGCCGACGGTGGGGCCTACACTGCCTGACCTTCTGGGTGCCGCTGAGGCCCTCGGACTTGGCTCTGTGCCTCTGGGGCTCGCGGCGTGTTCTGTTTTCTCCTAGCCTTGTACTTTAGACCTCTCGACCACTAGGAGCTAACTCACCTCCTGCTTTGCCTTTTTCCAGAACATGTCGTCGAAGCAGGTTAGAGGTCGAGAGGTCTCTGAGCACAGGGTCAGAGAAGACCCCGAAGATGTCGCGACCTCCAGCACATCTTTGGGTGGAAGCGGGGATTCCCTGCTTCGTCAAGTCGAGGAGTATGCTGACGTGTCAGCCTCGACTTCCCAACAGGATGCACTTGTTCTCCTCAACGACAAGGGTATCAACCCGTATGTCGGTTCTCCCGGGGGTCGAGGGTATGGGGCCGCACTGACAAATTCCCTTTCGGGGCTGGCCACAGACCTCGACCCATCTAAGATCAGGCCCCACGCCGCTAGGAAGGCATTCACCGACGCAGGGATCGACCCCCTCCACTTCTACTTGATCATTCCGACCCCCAACGACAGGGCTCACAATCCTCCCCCCAGTCATATGATCGTGTATACCCGGGCACTCACCTTCGGGCTAACCCCGCCCTTCCATCCGTTCGTGAAGGCTCTCAGCAGCCTTAACAGGATCTCGCCCGCCCAGTTGTCACCCAATTGTTGGGTGACGATAAACTCCATGATAATATTATGGAGGAAATTTTTAAGCCTTGACCTAACCGTCGAGGAATTCCTGCATTGCTACTCCCTCCGGGCCTCCCCTAATCAAAGGGGATTCTTTTACATAGCCTCCCATTCCAAATCCAAACCTCCTGTCCCACCCGTGGTTGTTGGGAAGAGCACCAGCGCTCACGGGTGGAAACCCTAAATTTTCTTTCTTGGGGGAAATTTTAACTTTCACCCCTTCGACGGTGAGCGACCGTTGAGGACACAGATAGTATTCAATAAATACTGTAGGTTTCCCCCCTTTCTCATTTCTTTAAGGGTTTCTGTACTGCAGTCGAGCCTTCTGACGCTGTTTTACACTCGCAGGTGAAGAAGTCGACCGACCGACGCTCCTAGCATCCGCTCTCGCTCGTGTCGAGAAGATACTGTCGCTCTCCCCTGACTCTCGGCGTGCCTCGGTCCTCAACACCAAGAAAAACCACCGGCTGTACGGCCTCGTCGTCGATCTTCTTGCCCCGTGTCGACCCGTTGTTCTTCTCGCGGATCTCCTCAACGGTAAGTCGGGTTTTCCCTTGACTTCTTTAGCAAAGTCCGGGGGTGCAGTCGAGGTGTCCCTGAATCGACCTCTTATTTTTCGTGCAGTCGTGCCTTCCGAGATGAAGTACAACATCCCCACCAAGCTAAAGAAGGGCCAGACCATACCCTCGGCGAGCGGGACGTCGAGCAAGCCTGGGGGTCGAGGCCGTTGCCCCGCTCGGTGTCACCGTGACCTCTAGAAAGGGGGTGTTTATGATTGAACCCCCCTCGAAGAGGCAGAAGGTGAACGAGCCACGAGTCCCTCCCGCGGTCGAGGGTTTTTCCGGGCAGGGTTGACGCTTGGAGAAGAAAAAAGGTGCCGAAGTCGCGGCAAACTTGGCGGTACCGCCTCCTCCCCCTGAGCCCGTCCTACTGCGAGGGTCGAAGGTCGACGACCCCATGTTCATTGTGCGCGACGTCATCGACCTTGATTTCACTCACGGTCTGTGCCTCCCCCCTCGCTTCAGCCTTCCTCTGCAGGCCATATACACCCTCTTTCATGAGGAGACCTGGAATGCCTACGCCGAGGAGAGTATCCTGGATCGGCAGCGTCTGACCGTGAAGCGTCAAATCTCGGTAAGCCTTGACCTCGACTGCTATCACTATTTTTCATTTGCTTATCCCCATGCGAATCTCCATCTTGACCGTATTCTTTCTTATGGAATTCAGGCCCTTGAGCTTGCTCTCCAGAATTACGTAGAGCTAGAGACCCTTCTCCAGGGGGAGACGATGTCGGCGGCCGCCGAGAAGGAGATCACTGCCCTTCACGCAGTCCGGGAAGAGCTCTCGACGGATTTAGAGGTCAAGAAGGTAAAGGTGCGGTCCCTCAAAGAGAGTATCTCCAACGAGAAGTCCAACAGCTTTGAGGCGGGCCTTAAGGAAGGGAGCTCTAAGGGGGTCGAGGCATACCTCTCCTCTCCGGAGTTCCAGCAGCGGCAAAAAGAGGCCACTTCAAAAGCCGTCTCAGATTTCCTTGTCTCTGAGGAATTCCGCCGTCTGGTCGACGCTAGGCTGGATGCCTTCAAAGAGTCCTAGGAGCTCAAGGACTTAATCGAGGGCCGCGTACAGCAATTCAAATCTTCGACGGCCTTCGAGGAGCTCGTCAACCAGAGGCTCGAGGCTTACCAGGCTTCAGCCGAGTTTGAAGAGCTTCAATTGTCCCTGATGCAGTCCGCGGAGGAGTAGATTCTCGACCGCTTCTGCAAGAAGCATCCAGACGTTGACCTATCCTTATTGGATGAGTCTGACAGTGAGGACGTTGAGGTGGTCGAGCCAGAGCAGGGGATCGATGACGTCGAGTAGGCGCAGGGCGATGTCGGACAGACCGCGGGGGGCAACGGCAGGCAATGAGGGGGCTACACCCGGGAGTTTACTATTTTTGCTACTTCTTTCTTTTTTTTATAGGGCTGTGAGGCCCAGACAATATCTATTTGGTAATTTGTAACGGCCATAAGGTCAAGACAAGCTTTTATATATTTTTTAATACTGATGCCTACTTTGGCTTACTGTTTGTATGGATGTTTGTAGACTCTTTTTTTTTTTTGCCAAGTGTAGGCTCGACTGCCTCTTGTGAGTCGGAGGTGTTGTGCTTTGCTTTTTTTTTTTTTTTGTGGGGGGCCTCATTGTTGGGCCTTAGTACCCCCTTGCCAAGGCTGAGTTTGAGAAGTCAGCCTTGGCGCACCACTGTAAACGCTTCGACGTAGATAGTAGAACATTAATAGCGTTGCTTAAGTACGGTTGGGCCAGAGCTCTACCGTCTTTGCAAGTCCGTACGGGACTTATATTGCCCCCTTGCTAGGAATAAAGCCTTGGGCTTGTTTTTTGGCGCATCGTCGTCAACGTATCGATAACTTTAGTCGACGTATCGACGTTAATGGGTCGACGTATCGACATAGGTACTAGGTGATCGTACCCGCGCAAGTAGTTAGCTGTAAGTCGGGATTTGTCGACGTAAATTGTTGATTATGCATTGAATGCACTCCAAAAGCAGTAATAAAGAATCAGTCGACGTGTCGACGTATATTTATTCGTGTATAGTTTACGAGTTGGCTTTCCTGCCTGCCAGAACGGGGAAATGAAAGAACAAAAGTAGAAGACATTTAGTCTGCTCTGTTAGGTCGACGCTTCTCGTGATTACTGGTAATAGACCTTCAACTGGTCCGCATTCCATGTATGCTTGATGCTTCGACCGTCGAGCTCTGCCAGTCGATATGACCTATTTGCAACAAGCTCTTTTACTCTGTAGGGCCCATCCCAGGTCGGTCCCAAGGATCCGGAGTTCTTGGGTTTTGTGTTGGGGGTTACCACCCGTAAAACTAGGTCCCCGACCCCAAAGCGCTTTGGCTTGACCTTCTTATTATAATACCTAGCCATTCTTGCCTGGTAGGCGGCGAGCCTTAACTGCGCATCTGTGCGTCGTTCTTCCAAAAGGTCGAGCTCCAAGTTCATCAACTCGGCGTTCCTATCCTCCTCGTACCAGGTCACCCGGCTGGTCGGAATGGACACCTCGACTGGCAGGACTGCTTCGAACCCATAGGCCATTGAGAATGGGGTTTCCCCCGTAGTAGTTCTACTCGTTGTTCGGTAGGCCCACAGAACTTTTGGTAACTCGTCGGCCCATTTTCCTTTGTAGGCGTCGAGGCGTCATTTGAACGTGACTTTGATTATCTTATTGACTGCCTCGACCTGCCCGTTGGACTGGGGGTAGATGACGGAGGAAAAATTCTTGTGGATCCCCAGTAGCTTGCAAAACTGGCTGGTGTTGTCATTCTTGAACTGCTTCCTGTTGTCGGACACGAGAGAGTGCGGCACAGCGAACCTGCAAACTATGTTGTTCCATATGAAGTTGTTGAGTGAGTTTTAACTCATTCATTTAATGTCCGAAAATGGAATAATTGCTTGTATCTTCAAGTTTTTAGGTTGTTTTAATATGTTTGTGAGTGATTCAGGTAAACAAAGAAGAATTGGATCACTTGGAAGAAAAATGTCAAAATGAGCCCGAAACTATCGCGCGCCCGCACGCCTACATCAGGGACCAACGCGCGCCCACGCGCCCACACCAGGGAACCAATGCGCGCCCGCGCCCTTGCCCCCCCAGTGCGCCCGCGCGATTTAAGGCGCGCGCCCGCGCGCTAGGCGTAGTTCCGCCTACTTCAGGCGCGCGCCCGCGCGCTGTTCCCCTAACCCAACCGCGCGCCCGCGTGCTCTGAGGGGGGCCTATAGAATTTGGCCGGACAAAAGAAAAGAGGAGGCGGATAGGAGTTGGAAAAAAAAAAGAAGAAAACCCTAGTTTTTCAGGGGCAGCAGACATAGGGGAGAAACCCTAGTTTTTTCTGGGGAATCAGGAGGGAGTTCTTGGAGATTGGGAGCTGGACTACACTGAGTTTTATTTTTCTTCCTCTCCCTTTTCTCTTGTTCTTAGACTTAGTATTTTCTCTATTTTGCGGATTTATCATGTACTTTTAGATTTGTTTAATCTTGAATTTATTTTAGTTTATATTGATGCGTGGCTAGATTCTTATGTTAGGGGACTTGATGTAACCTTGCTACGATTATGCTATGAATATTTGAGGCTATTTGATGTTTTCCATGCCCAAACATTTGTGCTCTTCTTTGCTTAATGCTTTAATAAATTGAAAGATTGATTAAAAGATTTAGATATGTGGATTTAGGCTTGAGAGAGTCACTTGCACATGTTGGGATTTGTTGAACACAGCCTAGTGAGTATTGGAGTCGAGAGATGAATATGAGCTAGGTAATCACAAATGAATTAGAGCTTAATGAATGCACAATTAACTTGATTAATAGGGATATTAATTAAGTGATTTTGCATATATTTGACTCGGCACTCGAGAGAGGGAGTTGGATTATTTTAGGAAATTCATGATTAATGTTTGGCTTGAGAGAAATCAATAGCATTAAAAAAGGATTAGAATAATTAGACAAGGTGAAATCAAACCCTTCGATCCCAAAAGTTTCTTTCATTGTTTGATTTGCTCGTCTAATTAGTTTAGCATTTTATTTTTTGTTTTGAATGATCTCATTCTCATGATTGGACTTGTCTAGATAAAACTGGGTTATTCTAGTTGTGATACTTAGCTAGATTTTAGGAACACAATCCTCATGGGACACGACACTCACTCACCACTTTATTACTTGTCGACCTCGTGCACTTGCGAGTAGAAAATAGGTGTTATTTTCCCATCGACCAAGTTTTTGGCGCCGTTGCCGGGGATTGGTTGTTGTTAAAACTTGGCTAATATTGTGACGACGTAGCCTACTTTAATTTATACATTTTTATTTTATTTTATTTTGTTTTATTTTATTTTTGTCTTTAAATTCTTTTAAATTTTTGTTTGCTTGTTTGCCTTTTTGTTCTTGAAGGTGAATGCGAAGAGCCCATAGCTTGGAATTATTACCTTTTGACTTGGAGATTGAAAGGACAATTCGTGAAATTAGAAGGGAAAAGAGAAATCAAGCACGAGCTATGGGTGATCAGAATCATAATAACAATAATATTGAGCAACAGAGGGCAATTCGGGATTATTTCAAACCCCCAGTTCAGGAACACTATTCAGGTATCCGGAGGCAGACTGTCAATGCCAACAATTTTGAGCTGAAGCCTTCCTTGATCTCGATGGTTCAACAGAATCAGTTTGGGGGATTGTCCAATGAGGACCCGAACACTCACTTGTCCATGTTCTTGGAAGCGGCCGACACAGTAGAGATTAATGGTGTCACTAAGGGCGGTTGAAATTGTTCCCATTCTCTCTTCGGGACAAGGCTCGACAGTGGTTGATGTCACTGCCGACGGGGAGTATTGGCACGTGGGAAGAGATGACTGAGAGGTTTCTTGCAAAGTTTTTCCCACCATCTAAGGCATCCCAGTTGCGAAGTGAGATTGGATCTTTCCACCAAAATGACTTTGAGCCGTTGTATGAAGCTTGGGAACGGTTCAAGGACTTGCTCAGAAAATGCCCTCAACATGGGTATGATGAGTGGATGCTGATTGACAGGTTCTATAATGGGTTGAATGGCCAATCGAGGACTATTGTTGATAGCACTGCAGGTGGATCATTGATGGCAAAGTCTATTCTAGAGGCCTACAATTTGCTTGAAGAAATGTCTACCAACAGCTATCAATGGCCTTCAGAGCGTTCAATACCGAAGAAAACTGCTGGTATTCACGAGGTGGATCCGTTAACTTCTTTGTCAGCACAGGTTTCAGCTTTGTCAAATCAGATTGCAGCATTGACTAACAGAGAAGCGTCATCTAGCAGAGAGGCAGTGGCAGGTGCCAGTACACTTTTTGCACATGATGAGTACACTCAGGAGCAGGTTCAGTTTGTGAACAACAGGAACTTTAACTATAGGCCCAATCAATTGCCCAACCACTATCATCCTGGCTTGAGGAACCATGAGAATTTCTCTTATGCCAACAATAGGAATATTTTGCAACCTCCTCCGGGTTTCAACCAACAAGAGGTGGAAAAGAAACCTTCTATGGAAGATTTATTGAGTACCTTCATTGTTGAGACTAGAGGGAGGTTTAACAAGGATGAGACTAGACTTGACAATATTGAGACACATTGTAACAACATGAATGCAACCATGAAGTCTCTTGAGGTGCAAATCGGTCAACTAGCCAATGCGGTTAAGGGGCAATCATCTGGCAAGTTCCCAAGTGATACAGAGCCTAATCCCATGACCATTGCAAGGCTATCACCTTGAGAAGTGGGAAATAAGTTGAGGTTCCTAAGCCCCAAGAGGATAAAACCAAGGAAGAAGAGGTAGGAACCCAGCATCCGAAGGGAAGTGCAAGGCCTAAGTCAATCTCTTTTCTAGATAATCCTCCTCTCATCGCTCCTACCCTCCCGTATCCGCAAAGATTCAAGAAGAAGAAGTTGGACGCTCAATTTTTGAAGTTTTTAGAGATTTTTAAGAAGATCCATATCAACATCCCCTTTGTGGATGCACTTGAACAAATGCCTAATTATGTCAAGTTTATGAAGGATGTCATGGCAAAGAAGCGGAGGTTGGAGGATTATGAGACCGTCAAACTAACGGAAGAGTGTAGCGCTATCCTTCAAAGGAAGTTGCCTTAAAAGTTAAAAGATCCTGGGAGTTTCACTATTTCGTGTACTATTGGAGATTCTCACTTCGAGAAGGCCTTGTGTGATCTTGGAGCTAGCATCAATCTTATGCCTCTATCCGTCTTTCGAAAGCTTGGACTTAGGGAAGTCACACCAACTACCATATGTTTACAAATGGCGGATAGGTCTCTCACTTATCCAAGGGGTGTCATAGAGGACGTGTTGGTGAAGGTGGATAAATTCTTTTTTCCCGCTGATTTTGTTGTGTTGGATATGGAAGAGGATCGAGAAATTCCCATCATCCTAGGGAGACCCTTTTTGGCTACCGGAGGAGCGTTGATCGATGTGCAAAGTGGTAATTTGACTTTAAGAGTGAATAATGAGGGAGTAAAGTTCAACATCCTTAACACAATGAGATTTCCGGAAGAGAAATCAACATGTCACCGGGTGGAAGTGGTAGAGTTTTACATCAAGGAATTCTTTCAAGAAGTAACCCACAATGACCCTCTAGAACACAGCCTCACTACATCATTGAACATGGCCGATTTTGGTGAAGATCATTGTATTAAGGAAGAGAGTATCGTTGATAGTGTTCTAGCTCTTGAGGCTTTACCGTGTGAAGTGGGGGATAATGCTCAAGTGAAAATTTTAGAGAAGCTTGGTGAGTGCTTCGTCTCCCCAAGCTCATCAAAAGAAGGGTTAGTGCTGAAACAATTACCGGAACATCTTCGTTATACCTTTTTAGGTGAGGATTCTTCTAAACTGATTATTATTTTGGCTTCTTTGAACAAGGAAGAAGAAGAGAAGCTCCTAGTTATTTGAAGAAACACGAGTCTGCCTTTGCTTGGTCTATTTCAGATATTAAGGGTATAAGTCCTACAATTTGCATGCACAAAATTCTCATGGAAGATGCTTACAAGCCATCTATTGAGCATAAAAGAAGATTGAATCCAGCCATGAAGGAGGTGGTGCGAGCTGAGGTGCTGAAGTTGTTGAATGCTGGGATCATTTATGCCATTTCGGATAGCTCATGGGTCAGTCCGGTTCAAGTTGTGCCAAAGAAGGGTGGCATGACAGTGGTGAAAAATGATAATAATGAGCTCATCCCTTCAAGAACAGTGACT